TCCCACCTCCTGGAGAACGCCCAATCGGTTCCTATTTACCATGGCTGGTCTTAGAACCAACGTAACCTTCAAGCGCTTCGGATTCTGGCACGTTGGTTTGCGTATTCGGAAACAAAGGTTGAGACGAGTTGTCGCATGTTCATGTTTAGAGGAGTATCCACTGCTCAAAAGCTAGAAAAACTGTCCAGGGTACTCTGTCCTCAGCGCAGGGTCTTTTTCAGTGTCCCCCTGTGGGTCATATTCTCAAGTCTTTATAGTTAGTAGAAGGCGACGCGATGATGTCTTGCTGTACGTACGCCTTAAAATCTCTCGATATGGCGGTGGGATGCTGCGTACTTGAGGACGGCAACCATGGTTTTCGTGACATATTTTCAATTTCAAGGAAGTTGTAATTACTCTTCACTAGCAGCAGACTAGGCGGACGGTTGTGTCAAATTGAAATATCGGCGGGTACGGTCCATTCGTGCCATGTTCAATGCCACGCCTACTCGCAGAGATCAGATGTGTATTAAGGACTGCAGAACTGCGTGAGAATTCTTGGAAAATTTCGTCTCCTACTTTTGCGCAGGGAAGTGGTTACTAAAGTGGTTGGAGGTAGGGGATGAGGGCAGGGCACAGAGGTCTATTGTTTCTTGCCTCATATGCCCCTGTGCTTACCAAGAGAGTCACCTTAATACCACCTCTTACCCCATCTCAGTGACCAGCGCGCTGAAATACTTGGACGTCATGCGGTGCGTGGCGTGGCTCGTCGTCTTGATGGGCCTGTCCCAGTCCCGGATTTGCTCCGAGAATTTAGCCAGTAGTCTTACCATGTGGTGATGTTGTTCCGATATTCCGATTTCCGGCGGTTTTGAGTGTTGTTTTTGGACACTGTGTCATTTCATCTTTTGAAGACGAAGCCCGCGATCGCTCGCCGTCACAGATAGTGGATTAGGGGTTTGCATATAGTTGAAAAAAGGTTCTGATAACTTGAAGAAAAAAGCAGAAAAAGGCATTCCTAACTTGCCATACAACCATTCAGATCTCAGTCTGTACTTGCCCAGTTAACTCCATCTCCAATATTAGGCCCTCATTCGCACAGCGATTCCCCGATAAGAACTCTTCGCACGTACAAATGACGATTTCCATGCTCTTTCGTCCTGCAGCTTTGTTTTCCTGAAAGACGGACCTTCATTGCGGAAACTGAAGGCGGGGTAACTGGAGAAAAGGAGGCGTCACTGAACCTACATTGCGCCATAGCGTCCCTCTCTTTGCAATTTTTTTTTGCAGTCGAAACGGTAAACAACGGTTGTTCGACGCGGACACCATACTACCTTCCGACCGCATACTTTCGACTCTCTCGCTCATCGCGGACGTACCCTTTAAACGCTTGCCATTATCGTGTCCTTCATTCATGAAAGGATCTAACGGGAAAAGCGAGTGGACTATGTTCTTACGCATTCGCTTCTTTAATATTTCATACACAATGGTTACTTATGAGTAGGCGTCTGTAAATTTTGTCGTCAGAACCTAGTAGCCTAAATGATAGCCTGCGCGGTTATGAAAGGAAGGAGGTGGTCTCGAGTAGGTGAGTCACTTTCCACTTCCGATTTTCAAGGACTAGTCGTTCATCCACCACGGAGTTTTCCCACTGTTTTCTTCGAAGTGCAAGCTATTACAGCGCTGACGCAAAATTGCAGACAGACCCCTCCCAGGCAAATAGCGCCTATATCACATGTTCATAGGACGTTTCGCGGAATGGTGCACGTATTCTTATTTCATTCTTTTTCTTCGCAGAAGAAACCGAGCTATGCGAAATTCTCACGGGTATTCTATGGAACTGTGAATGACTGGCCGTTTAAGGAAAACGGGGAGAGAGCCTTCAAGAGCTTCCTCCAAAAAATCTTATTTGAGTGGTGATTGAGTCCACTATTTCCCCTCATATTTTTTTGGTGCCCTTGTGTTTCATTTACTCTGGAATTATCAGTATTCTTTTAAGACGGAGGTGGCGTAGTGGCAAGTGGCACGCTTACCAAGGGCACGGTCTGGGGATCAAATCAAATCGGCTCCCCGGCCAGTCCAAGCGAACCTTCTACCTCCCAAGCAAATTTGTACCAGTTTCGTCTGGGAGAATGCCATTACGATCCTGAATGTAAGTAGAATGCGTGCCGCATCCTTGAAGGGTATTGACTAACGATGGAGGATTTTATCCTTTCGCAATTTTCATAACATTTTTCATCTCGAGTCGATTTCCTGCCTAGGTGAACCAAGCCTTCTACCCTCCGGAGACGATAAATTGGTACCAGATTGGTCTTCGAGGATAATAACACTGACTTGTACATCGGCTGGATCATGCAAGTCATTGTATAAACCACATCGCATTCAATAAAGCCACTCTATTCTGAATGGAAGTAGAATGCGTGGCGCATCCCACAAAGGGATTGATTAACGGCGAAGACTTTATCCCTTTATCCTTATCCTTTATCATTTTTTCATAAAAATATTTTCATACAGATTTTCTCACATGACCGCTCGGAACCAACGGGGGCTTTATGAGCACAACCAACGGATTCTTTATGCAGCACATTCTCGAGCGTCTATTTCGCTTTTATCGCTTTTCAAGTTCTTAGCAGTCTATCGTATTTGCCCGCTACCATAGGGTAGCGCGGATCCAGTCGAAGTCCACTCAAAGGCGCTGCGCTATGAGTTAGTTCAACTGAAAAGTTGAACTTGAAAAGAACTTTCAAGTCAAAAATCTGTCGAAGAACTACTTTTTCCACTTTAACTTGTAATGCAGCTGGTAGAAAGAAGCCGTGTGATTGAATTCCCTTGACAGAAGCAACTGACTCAAGGAGTCTTTTTTCAAGCAACGTATCATAAAACAACAAAGTCCACTTTCTCCGCGAATATGAGGAATTGAGTGGCATTTCCGTCTGCCAGCACAGCCTGTCTAGCAACTTTGGTCAGTTAGTATCCTCAGATTACGAGGGAATGATCGTTCCACGTTATTCGCATGGGCGGTAACGTGAACCATTGTGCCTTCCTGATTGGTGCTCCCTGTTCTCTATGGCAGTAAGGAGGGGCTTCACTGGATGAGACAGCAGTGACCTGCGGTGGCCAGCCAGTTTTATCATCTCCCGAAAGGCAGAAGATTTCGCTGGCATGGGAGGGAGTCAAAGAGGGGGGGGTGCGCCAACTATGCGCCAGCACAATAGTATGTTTGCACCATTATAGTGACACCTCGATGCCTGGGGTGACTATGTCTTCTGACACCCGCAGCGGATTTCCCTTTCTGGAGAACCTGGGATTGGTAGCAGAATTGTCAGGGAGGATGAGACCATTGACTTATTCATCAGTTGACCCCCACAAGTTGTATTGCAGACCCGTTCGCTTACTCTAATTCTAAATGGAAGTAGGGTGAATGTCACATCCAAAAGGACAAGCTAACGAATCTACGACTCCTAGAAGTCCATCTCGGAACCCTCAATGACCCTCCGCAATTGCGGTTATTTGGAGAATCAGCTTGCTCTTGGGAGAAGACATGTTTATTTAAGTCAAGATGTAATTTAAAAAGTACAAATTCAGTTTTTTGGCCCATAATGCGCGTACATGGCAGAGTTTATAAGGCGAAAGCACTTTTTCAACTGCGATGTCCCTGAGGATTAGTCACTTCAAAAGTTCCACATGACTTCTTTCCTTAATGAGATTGAACCACCACACTTTCTGAATAATGAGATTGCATTTTTTATAGTGAACCCATGGTTTATGGAACATTCCAGTTCTTCTCCGCCGGCAGCCACCGCGATCCCCTCTCCTGCCTGCATACGTTTAGAGTTCCAGAAGAATTCCTATTACTGCATTGCTACCTAGAATCCTGATGGCTTCTCTTTGGCTCTGGCTATCGTTTTCTTGTGCGTCTGCGTTGGTACCACTTAGTCGAATATTTAGAGTGTACACCCAATATCCCGAAGATGGGGAGGGCGTGGCTGCGCATTTATTTGAACGGGTGGCGACTGCGTCTTCGGAATAATGTTGATATTTGGCGGCCATTGAAACCAGGCATTATTCAGCGAAAGCAAGGATAACAGTTATTCAAAAAAAACTTCCGAAAAATGTGCCTTACGAAACGGGTTCGCGGCCACGCCCTTCCCATCTTAGTGATATAGTGTGTATTAAGATGTTTCAGTTGTGGTTTGGTAAGGGGGGGGGGGTGTTATCGCAACAAAAACATT